TAAACTTGTAACAGCATATATATCTATTTATAATTACATTTTATTGCCCTTTGAACTGTGTCTAACTACTATTCGCGGCATCATAAGTTGTAAATCACTTGGGGAATGTGCAGTTCAAGTTACAATATCGAAATTGACTATTCTGTGTTCAGAACACAACGTTATACAAACACAATACATTTGATAGATGAAAACCTTGACTTTCTATTGGTTATAGGTAATATATAATTAAACATAGAGAGAACTATTAACAAATCCTGAAAGAGAGAATGTGACAAGTGGGTGTGGTAGAAGGGTTCTGATTTTCTATTTGATTGCTCAATAACCAAACAAAATTGAAAGTTATAAAAATTATGGTGTATCTGAGATTGTTTTATAGTGAGTATTTTACGTTTAATTTTGTAGTTTCTTGGGGGGGGGGGATAATATAGAGATGAGAAGATACCTAGAGAAAATGTGTCATATGAGTCACACTAGGTGAAATTGAGGATTTTTTAAAATATTGCCTTATAAAATTAAGAACTTAAAACTTATATACTATTAAAATATGGATTATTAGCTAAGATTTTATGCTATACTAATTGGTATAATATAAACAAAAGTAGATTAATGAAATGTAAGATAATAGAAACTTGTGTCATGCACAGTAATGGATACCCAGGATGAGAGAGTTAAATCAAAAATGTATTTCCAATAACATTTACCTCTACTCTCCAACTACATCAGTGTGCCCTCTATCATGGTATTGTGTATAAGCACCTCATTCAGGTAATGTTATCACTTTTTTGATACTTACTCAATCACAGTCTCTAATACCAGCTCTTAGTGGGGAAGAAGGGTGGGAGAGTATAATAGGAGGTAAGTATTATTGGAAATACATTTTCGATTTAAGGAAGTGTTAACTTCCGAAACATACCTCTGATCACACTTATAGCTAGAATCTCACACTGATAAAGTGGAGGAGTCTATGAGGGTATTATCCATACAGAAAGTGTTTGTATAGATCATGGGTGTGCCAATAGAAGATTGGCACCCTAGTGGAGGAACTGCACAACATAAAGAACATGTATGTTCTTCACCCAGAACTTAATTCATGTACATGATTCGTCATCACTATTGGCCAGGTCCCAGCCAGATACCTGAGATTCAACTACTCTGGGTTAGAATTATAGGGGGATTGTTTGTATATCCCATGTTGGTGGCTAGAGCAATTAGACCACAATCTATGTATGTATATACGTATGAGTGGATCCCAACCTGTAACCATAGAGAGATGTGTTCTGAGTCATCTGAATCATGACGAAAAGGTAAACAACACTTAAATGGACAAACCTTCTCCTCAACCCGAACAAGAAGTCTGAAAGGCAACACTTCAGGCTTGGAATGATGAGATCGTGTATGCTTTACTCAGCCTGAGTCTGGAATTATGAACACTCATTCTCACTCCCAAACATTGTGTAGGGAAGCCTTTCATCCATGCATAGACCTTGGAATTCCTGACTGTTGGTATATGCACCCCATCCCTGAAACAAGGCATTCGTGAAGAGATGCAACTTTGGACAAGATGGTGGTAGAGGATCCATATCTTAGTAGTGTCTCGACTTAACAAAAATGATCCCGACTAAGGAAACTGGGGAATCCAGTGAATCAATGTTTATGATCCCTCAATCATGAGGGATTCAAGTGATGCTCACATTCCCAGAAGAGACAGAACCATCTGTGCAGTGGGAGAATGAGAGGTGAGTAAGAGTCAGGCTTCCTGTTCTATAAGACTGAGCTGGATGGGAGTCAGCTGAGCCTGACTGAGAGACATGAAAAATGAAAAAATACCAAGACTGATGACATATTAAATTAACTTGGAGCAAGAATAGATACCTCAGCCCTGAGAATGAAGCCTGCCTTGGTTGTTTTTGAAAGTAGAATCAGGATGTGATGTTCTGACAATTGACGAGATGGTGCCAGCAGAAACCAGTCGTCTATGGAATGGAGGTGATGACAAAAAAACTTGTACGATTTAGCAGAATCCATGTGAAACTGATGCTAGTCAGAAGGTAAAACTCTGAAACAGCAGCACCTGACCCTTGTGCACAAAAAAACGCCAATAGTGGTGGTACGCCACCAACATGGCAATATGCAGGTAGGAGCCGACTACAACAAACTTGGACGTTCACAATCCCAGTAAAAATGTCAACTCAGATTGAGGAATGAGTAACTTGTGAACCTTGGAGAATCTAGGCATTGATATAGATGAAAAAGGTCGATGAATGGACACCAATCTCCTATCTTCTTAAGACCAACAACCGATGGGAATAAAACCTCAGTAGAGCTAACACGACTCTCTCACTACCTCTAGACCAACCAAACTGTGATAGCCCTGGAATTAAGTTCCAATTCCCAAGGATCTTCATGACACAGAAATACTACAGGTTGAATAACAGTGGAAAAGATGTGAACTGAATGACTGATCCTGACTCAAGGACCTGTAGTGCTCTTTGATCCGTGGTTAAGGTTACCATACATCCAGAAATTCTCAGAGCTGAGCCCTCACAGACCCTAAAGGCATACAATAATCACTGATGCCACTGGTGGCAATCTGACTGAGCAGTGGAACCCTTAGATATAGACAGAATCTATTCTGGGTACCAATGTACAGAGGGGCTGATGCTGGGAGTCGGGACACATGAATAGGGGTGGAACTATGACTCCCCGTAGGAGCCAATGAAATTCGAGATGCCAACGAGAACAGGAATGAATGTAGAAGCTGGCAATTGAACCGATGTGCTGCTAACAATGGTTTCAGCTCATCATCAATGAAGTTGGTGATCCTGACTGTCTTCCAACAAAGTGAAGTGAAACGAAAACAAAACATTGGATTTCAGAGTTGTAAGCCCGTAAACTTACCCTGTCCCATCAGGAGACATTGATCTATTCAGGTTAATTACAAACTCTGCCTTAGAACCCCCCGAACTTCAAGGAGCAGATGTATTATTTGAGAGCCGGAAAATGCTTCCACCTGGTGGTGGTAGGCTAAGTCACAACATCTCTCCAACCGTGTTGGATAAGGCATAACTGTTCCATCCTGTAACCGAGAAGTAAACCTCCGAGCTTGAACCACACTGTCTGTGGATGGAGAGAAAACTCAATATTCGCTCACAGACCTTTCAGCCATCAAGTAAGGTGCAGATTAAAAAGCAACTGAGGAAAGACCCAAAAAATCACACACTTGACAAACTAACTGACAATAAGAAATCAAATGCAGATTATCCCAAAGTGACCTCTATTTTGTTTTTTAAAGACTGTGTTGATTACCCTTGATTGGAACAACATTTGGTCAGGTAAGTTTGTTTTGTTAGAACAAAGCAATGTTGGGTTATCTGTTGTGTCCACTATAGAGAATCGAACCCCAGATTCCAGTATTGTAATTCCGTAAACTCACCATTGTCCCACAGGGGGATTGAAAAGCCAACAGACTAAAAGAAGGCACAGGAAAAGTGAATATAAATTCTCTCCAGAAGGTCGAGGATTGCCCTCAATTGCAGCCTCAGATACCTCTGGAGGAACACCACCAAACCGAACATGTCTCCATCTCACTACGAATAAGACCACTGACAGTCTCAACTGAGAGTTACTCCCCCCTCTCCCCTCCACTATTGTGAATTTTAGATATGAGAGGTGGGATAGGAGAGACCTGATTTGCCTTTGCACCAGAAATAATAATCCGGGAATTCATCCTGTAGATCGGCCCACCAATGGGTGAAAAAAATATCGTTTTTTAAAAATGAAAATCAACTAGGTAACATGGAGAACATTCAAAGTATCTATAAACAATCATAGTACTAGGAAACCAATTAGTGATGCTGTGTCGAGAAAAAGTGATAACATTATCTAAATGAGGTGTTTATATATACAGACCAGGATAGAGGGCACATTGACGTAGGTGGAGAGTGCCATGAGGCAAATATTGCCGAGGGCAATTAGTGAGGTATAAAAGACTAAAGCAAGCAAGAAACCCTGGCAGTTGAGTAATAGCTGTCAGTGTGAAGGAGGTATGTTTAGGAAAAATATATGATTCACTAGAAAAAGAATGTCTTAAAACTGTTATAATTTATGAGTTTTATAATTAAGCTATAAATAGGTTAAAACATTATGTTAACTGCTCGGAGTTGAACACCAACAGAGAATGTAGGTCCAACTGTCTATGTATGCTTGCCATAAAGAAATAACTGTAACAAGATTTATGTACAGGAGAATCTGTTCTTTCTATTGATTATAAACAGGTATAGCCAGATACAGATAATATGTATAACTGTTTTGAAAGACAGGACAGATGAAAGAGGTTTCTCTGGTGGGTGTGACAAATGTAATAATATCTTATCAAATCAAGAAGGTAGTATGTTGAACTTTTTGTACTCCTACGTGTAATTATGTACAGTTTACATTTTTAATTGGTTGGATACTCTGAAAGCCATATTATTAAAAACACAAAATCTAAAGAGTACAATTCAGAACAGCAATATGTCAGGTGACACAAAGAAGTGAATATTGAGAATGTTTTAAATATTTCCTTTGGAAAGTAAGAAACTGAAACATATATAATACAAAAGATTTGAATTATAAACTACTTTTTGATATTAACATAACATTAATAAAAAATTGGCTAATTAACTTTTGAATGTAATTCTGTAAAGGATTGTGACATGTGTACTTTGATTAAAGGGTCACTTAAATGCATATAAAACATACACTAGTAAGACATCTAAAATGAGAACTGTATTTACAAACTATATTTTTTTATATACTAGAAGTTGTAAAATCACAGCCAACAGATAAGTTTTGTAAATTTCAATACAAGTTGTTGTTTATAAATGATCAACAGCTTAACTAGCATTTAACTGTACAATGTAAGGGTACTGAAACAATAGAAGGTGAGCAACGAATAAAAATAGTTAATTCAACTAACACTATCATAAACAGAAGTCAACTACACTTACTTATTCCTGAAAGTCTGAATTTCTGTACGAATTTCACCAGCACTTTGTGTAGCTTCTTCCATCTCATCTTTTAAGCTGTCAATATGTGTATTATATTCATCAAGTGAAGAACAAATAGCATCCTGTAGAATATAATAACAAAAATGAAGACTGACAGCAGCAATATATTATAAATCAGAGGAGAAAAGGAACAAGCCAATTAAAATTAATTTCTATAGGGGTTTTTCTTACATTAACTTAGATGCAACTGAATTCTTGTTTTGAACACAGAGTAGAATACAAAATTGTAGAAATTATAAAAATCTGAAAGTATACCTATAGAAGATGTACATAATTTTAATACAGACCAGGGATGGAAGCACAGAAAAACAGCCAAGAATAAAAAGGGAGATAACTTAGTCACAGGTTTTTCCTATTGTTAGTAGCCCAGACAACCTTATTTTTATTATTTAAACTGCTATAATTACATAAGTACAAAAAATATACAATAATGCAACCTACAGAAACAAATGAACACTGTATACAGTAATTTCAGAAAAATATTTTATATTACATTTGAAATATAAATATTTAATAAATATATCAGAATATTTTGTTTCTAAAGCTTTTCCCAACCCACGTGTTTGTGTATGTTCCATATTTCCTTGACATGTAAAGCTTACTATGCTCTTTTTTGTCCTCTGCAACTTGCTGAAATAATAGCAAAAAATTTTCAGTAACAAATGCACATGTTAATAACTTGAGGTCTGCTACTAAATCTGCTGTGCTTATCCTCCCTCTGGTTGGCTTGGCATCTGTAAGTGTTTGATTATTTTAATTTAATTATTCTAATTTAATTATTTAATTTAAATATTTTCACAGGCTATTCATCTTTAGTAAAGTAATTACAAAGTACCTTTCTTCACTGCTTCCATTACTTGTAAAGTAGTTACACATATTGCAAAAACAGTCAAAGAACATCAGTTTTTCTAACCCAATCTTCATAAGGCCCATTTAATGTATCTGTTCCACTGCTCTACTGCCAGTGCCATTTGTTTGGTTTGGCACATCCTTATTGATTAAGTGTGGATCCTCTCTGTGATTAAGGAATAATGGCAAATCCATATCAAAATTACCAGTAGAGGTGTGTGCCTACATTAACTACTTGGCAGCAATGCTAAATGCCAACATAAATGTATCAAAAAAGGTAGCATATGTTTAACAAACTATCAGGTGTGTTTCATCTTCATAATTCAGGAATACTGCCATGTCAGTTCAGCAACATTTTCAGTAGAAACCTGGGTAAGCTAACCAATAAATATGCAATTAATAAGGAACACCTCAATATGAGATGGAACAAATTTACAAATAACTATTGTCATATAGTAGCCAAATATGAAAGTACAAACAAGAATGTTTTAACTTCCCCAATAAGCATTTTCACATCAAGAAAACCCCGAATAGACTTTCACTGTTTACAAAATAAACAAAAATGGAACACTTCTCCACTAGCTACAGAAAAACCACTTCCATGATTGACATATCTGTTTACTTCAGCTAAAATTACTTTTTTATTAACAATACTATACAGGTTGGTGATGTTGTACAAATATAACTATAATAAAGAAGTGAATATAACAACATTGTGACATTATAAAAACTTTAAAACTACATAAAAGTAGGATATAATAGATAAATTTCAAAACAATGTGATAAATCTAATGATCATAGGAAAATGCAATACTGATAAAAATGAAAGAAAAAAAAAGTGTCCATTTAATCTATGAGGATGGAGAGTTCCCAGTTTACGATTTAGTCTATTTTCAAGTCTCTCTCTTTGTACAATATCAGATGGTGCATATTTGAGTCTCACTATAGAGAAGTGATCAACGTTATGTTCCAAGCTAGTAAAATGACATCCAGAGGGATGGTCTTTATTGAATCTTCTTCGGAGAAACTCAAGATCTTCTGACACACACTCTTCTTCGTCTTGCTGAACTTGGGTTAACCATAACTGTTTTCTCTTTCAATGGCAACATTTATAAACAAACTTGTGGTGTCACTAAGGGACTAAAATAAGACCATCATTTGTAAGCCTGTTTGTTGGCTATGCTGAAAAACACATTTTTGAGCAGTATAATTACAATATACTGACTGTTTACTACAGATACAACGATGTTGTTGGTATAGCTTCTATTTGTAGAGAAGAATTGCAAAATTCCTAATTTATGTAGCTACCTTTAATTCTATCCTCCAATTTACACAAAAAATCTCCCGCAAAAAAAACTACTGTTTCTGGATACTGAACTTTCTCTTATGAATAACATCATTACTACTAGTGTTCATTATAAAACTACTGATTCTCTTTCCTACCTGCATTTCAATTTTTCTCATCCATGCAGCATCAGAGAATAAAACCGTAACTACCAGATCACAAGAATTCACAGGTTATGCAAAGAGGATGATAACTTCAATGTTAAAACACAGAAAATAATTCAGCTTTTTAGCAAAAAAAAGTACTCCAAAGCTCTTATATCTAAAAGTGTGTATATGGTGAATTTTAAATCCCATATATTACGTTTATGATCTATTTCAAAAGACAATAAACATCTCATTCCTCTCGTCTTATGAATCTTAAATTTATTATTTTTAGACGCAACAGTTAAGGCAAGTTTGCTTACGTAATTATTTATGAATCATTTGTATAGTAGTTCAATTGTTGTGAATTGACATCATGTTACTCAAACCTTCAGAATTTTTCTCATTGCTTTAAGTGAGTATTGTTGCATCATAACATCTCATAGTTTAAAGAAAGATCGAGGCCTCATTTGGGCAAGATATAAATACGTGTCCAACCAAGTTGGAAATATAGTCATATAGATCTAGTTTGTGTGTTTGTAAGTTTAGCCATAAAGAGTGTATAGTGGTGACTCTTAAATTGTTATCATTGCAGACTGTATGGTGATAAACAGAGTAGAAAAGAATAATTTGTCCTGCCAATTAGGTACTAAAGTAATTGAACCAGCCTGTGTGAACTTTTGACAAAAAAAAAAAGAAAAGAAAAAAAAGGGACGATTAATTAAAGGTCTGGATGCAATTGTGAGTTAAGAAAGTTAAGTTAGTGAAAGTATAAGTGAAGGTAGACTGTGTGACTGTCAGTTTAGCTGTAATAGGTGATTTTTGAAGTGAGTTTCACAGTTTGTATCACAGCAACAGAGATAAAAAAATAATAATTTGTCTTGTCAAAGGGTGTTCTAAAGTAATTGAACCCACCTGTGATGAAAAGGAGACAATTATTTAAAGCTCTGGATATCACTATGGTAACCAACAGTTATAGTGGTGATTTTGAAGTGAGTTCCACAGCTTGTATTATAACAACAGAGATAGAGATGAATAATTCGTCTTTTCAAAGGGTGTTTTAATTAATTGAACCTGCCTGTGTGGAATTTGATGAAAAAAAGAGACAATTATTTAAAGCTCTGGATATCACTATGGTAACCAACAGTTATAGTGGTAATTTTGAAGTGAGTTACACAGCTTGTATTGTAACAACAGAGATAGAGATGAATAATTCGTCTTGTCAAAGGGTGTTTTAATTAATTGAACCTGCCTGTGTGGAATTTGATGAAAAAAAGAGACAATTATTTAAAGATCTGGATACAAATGTGATAACCTATAATGAATTTTTGTACATACGTATGACATGTTTTGAATATATTATTTCAAAACAAGTGGATTCTGTGCTATCCGTTTATTGTTGAAATTTATTGCCAACAAGTCACAGACATCTACTGTAAAGAATCCCAGCCCATCTACATATAGAAAATTTGACAAACAATAATACACAAATACATAGGTTTAAATTCTCCTTTGACATATGACAGTCTTTCACTTGCATATCCCAATGTAAACAACGTAGAAAATTATATATTGGACAAACAGGCCATGAACTAAGTGATAGAATCCAAGAACATTTTAGCCACATTAGAAGTTTGAATAAATATCATTCTTCTGGACACCACTTCAGTAGCTCAAAACATAACATCAATGACTTCTCTATAGTTGGACTCAAATATGCATCATCTTATACTGTATAAAGAGATCCACTTGAAAATAGACTAAATCATAAATTGGGGACCCTCAAGGATTAAATGAATGATTTTATTTTCTTTAATTTCATCAGTGTTATATACTTTATACTTTCACAGAATTTATCACATTATTCTTAATTTTATCTATTATATCCTACTGTTATATAGTTCAAAAGTTTTATTATAACATCAGTTATTACATTCACTTCTTTATTATAAGTATTGTTGTACAACGTCACTAAAACGTATAGTATTGTTAAAACCATGTGATGGTCTTTGTGATTCATTGTGTCTCTTTCATATCTTTAACATTCTTTTTTTTTAGGTCTGATAGGTCACCTATCAATAAATTATTTAGCATTATATAAACCCTTCATGTTTTTTATGTCTCAACATACTCAATACAGCTAGAAATGCCCCAATATTTTGATATCACTTACAAACTTAAGCAATTAAACCCCTGTCAATATCATTAAAGTAGGTAAGAAAAATCAAAAGCCCAAGAACTGATCCCTGAGGTAATCCACTAGTTACAAGGTACAGTTTGAATGGACTTCATTAATAATAACTTTTTACTTTCATTCATCCAGCCATCCAATAATCCAACTTACTAGTCTTTCCCTAATCCCCTATCAAATTAATTTTTGTTGACAAATCTTTTGCTTTGCACCTTATCAAAAAGATTTTGAGAATCTAAATACACTCTCTCCATTATCCAGATAAAACACAAATTCCTTAAAGAAACTGAACAGCTAGTAAAGGAAGATTTCCCTTTAGTGAATGCATATCGATTTTATTATATTATATTTCACTATCATGATTTTGTAAAGCTTCTTTCATCATATTCCCTAGAATATTTTACACTATAGAAATAAGACTATCTAGTCTATAAATTCCAGGGCAACTCATATCATCCCTTTAAAAATAGCACTAACAAAAGCAATTTTCCTAATCCAGATAATCTGTCCACTAATTATTGATCTACCAGAAATGGGAAAAGTTTTCATATCTGATTACTGACGTCCTTTAAAATCATGGGAAAAATACTGTGTGGTCCAGGTGCTTTATCTATTTTTAAGCTCTTAACTTTTCTTTTCACTATCAATGGATTATATCTATATGATTTGCATCAATACCACTATTTCTCTCAGAATGATTAAGGTCAAGAATAATGCTAATATTTCCTCTTGTGGAAAAAGAATAGAACACATAAAAGCTCACTGATTTTAGCCCCAAATGTAAAACCTTGCCACCAGCATCCATTAATAGGCACAATCCCCAATTTAACATTTTGCTTACCCTTAACATACTTAAAAATCCTTACTGTCAGTTTTAATATTGTCAGTTACCTATTTCTCCTAAGCCCTTTCTAATTTTTTTAATCAAATCCATCCTTCCAAAATAACATAACCACAATAACGAATAACCTTCCAATAAAGACATTGATGAAAAACTTTGAAATGAGTTCTTTTCAACATACCTTAAAGTGATCAATTGTGACAAAATCAGGGAAGAAAGGCAGAATATCTTCAATTTTGATTAGATCACATTCTTGTAAAAACTCCATAGCTTTCTTTATATCATTTTCTTCTTTCACAACATGTTTTGCTTAAAGATAGAAAAAAAACACACCAAAATCAAGTAAAAGCTATATAATCTGTTTTATTTACTTTAACTGGAGCATCTTATTCATACTTAGTTAGAACAGGTTTATTGCCTCTTTGAAGCAGTCTTAGGAACAAATAATACATCCATAACAACTTTCCAGAGTTTATATACACATATTTGGTATACAGCAATGTAACATACCTCACTAAAGATCACTGACTAAATATACTAGTACTACTAAAAAACACATACATAGACAATGAAAGTGTTTTATTAGTCAGTTTTGTGATTCAGAACTTATTCTTTGACAATATGCTGTGTTCTGTTTCAGAATCTTCACACAAAGAATTATCTGCACATAGTTATCCCTAATATTCAAGTGGTGGATTACAGGGAAGGCAGCTTTTGTGTAATGGCAAGAACAAATTTAAAACAAATAGAGTATTATTTTTTGGAAAAGATTACAAGTAATCAAGGAAGTAATTTCAATAGATTTAAGATAAAAGGTATAAACGTTAAAGTACGAAACCAATAATAAATTAAAAAATGGATTTGGAAAACTGCTGAATTACAACAACAAAAGGGGGAAAAAAAAGGCAGAAAATGGGAAATAGAATCTGTTTAACAGAATATATATTGAGTAAAAATTAATCAAGTTAAAAAATCATACTTGATTTCCCAAAACCTAATTAAAATGTAGGCCTGTTATATAGTTATAAAATTTCATCCACATAAAAATTATTAATCTAAAAATATAAACTTCTCTAGACCCTGTGAAAAATAAATAAAATAATATCACTAGATCTAAATGTTAAAGTCATTTTCTAAAATAACAAACGTTTCCTGTAGATCTTACTGTATATTGACATAACATATGGTCAGCAAGGGATCATATGGTCCTTCAAGGTTCTCCTTGCACGCCCACTTGAGAAAAAGGAAAAACTTGAAAATCCACCCTTTATTTATAAGGCCCAGGCCACATGTAAGAAGCTAACTCCCGATAAACCAAGGCTTGCCCACTCGGCAGACAACATCAATTCCGAGCCCTGGGTAACAGGAGTTCGTGTCCACATGAACTTCAGGAGCCGTGGTAGTAATCACAGTAAATTGCAAATTCATAATTCACAAGAATTTGTGTGAAAATGGTAATTAAAGTTCGTAACACATCAGAATGCAAGAAGTACTGAGGCAAATTTGATAATAATATAAAAGGAACAAAGTCCAAAAAAATTTTATCAAAAACTGAAGGCAAGCAAGAAACCGTCCAACTTGTATTGTGCCATCTGAGAAAGTGAGGTTCATGTAAAGTAGTACAAAGGGAGCCAGCTGCTCTAGGAGGTGTGTTGTGCTCCTATTAGTGGAGAGGTGTCACATGCTCTTTGCATACTAAAGGAGCAACTCGAGCTTATAAAGGCTGGTGCATCAGGAAAGAAAATTTATTTTCAATGTGCTAGAGGGCAGTGGAAGATCGAGAAAAGCTACTGTGAGAGGAGGTATGTATCGTAACAGAATTCTCCATAATTACAGATCATGCACCCTTACAGTGGCTAATGACACTCAAAGATCCATTGTTTGGCTAGCAATGTGGTTGTTGCTATTACAAGATTATGAGATTGACGTAATGCATAGAACAGGAAAAAATATATAAATTCATGAAGCAGGATTAAAGTAGAAGACTCAATATATAATTCAAAGCAAGTGATTAACAAAATCAAGTACATGAAAAAAAAACCAGTGAAGAGGGCAATGAAGTGGTTTGGGATATAGATCATATTAGCATATACAAGAATGATATAACAGTAAATTCATTAAGAGAAAGAGTATTATGAACAGTAGTAACTAAGTACATGCCAGTTTTTTGTACTGTGCATGTCCATATGCCAGTTGCTTTATATTATGAATGTTTATTCTGATTATTTAATACTGTGTATGTTCATTTTGTTTGTTTGTACTGTACCTGTTTATGCTGGATCGTAGTAACATAAAGTTTGAGAAACAAAGTTATCAGTACTTATCAAGACACTCCATTTGCTGCACATTTAGAATTTGTGATAACAAATAGTAGAATAAGTAAGTGATTCTTTAGAGAAAAAGATGAGAAGGAATATCAGAAACTTTTGTGAATCATGTATCAAGTGTTACAATGTAATGCCAGTCCACATATAATCCTATGCATACAAGAGGATCAAAGTGTGCATGTCACTACCTTTTTTTACAGAATTACATTCAAAATTGAATTAAACCACTTTAAGCTCATTGTATGATAATAAGCTTGGTGTCAAAATACATTACAATTCAAATTTCTATATTATCTAAGTTTTAATTTTTTAATTTCAAAAGGATATATTGAAATAAATTCTAAATCTTCATTTCTCTGCCATATGAAACATCTGTGATGAACTTCTCAATTTAGGTTTTCTTTCCACCTTTATATGATTTTTAGTGTCAAATTAACTAGAAACACATACTGTAGATGTTGACAAGCCAGAATGTAAATCTAGAACCTGTAATTTTCTTACTGCACACAATTAAACATAAATGTTATTTCAAAGTTAACAAAAGAAATACTCAATTACTAGGTTTAAAGAAAATACAGACAACTGCATACCATCCAGTTGCTAGAGAATTAGTAGTAAAGTTCAACAGAACTTTGTTAAATATGTTGTTACAATATTACAAATCAGATCTGAAGACACAATGGATGAGCTTACAGAAGAACAGCAAAGGAATCCACTCAACAATGTGCTTTCTTCTTATTACTTGGCAGATATGTTTTAAATACAGCAGACATTAGCTCCAAGAAAAATGAAATTATATATATTATATAAGGGTTATAAAGCAGAAATGTTACAGAGAATGAAGGTAGCTTTTAAAATAACAGATAAGCATTTGACTAAAGGTGCCAAAAGTAGAGAGAAACTGGTATATGAAAAAGCAAAAGTCTGTTAAATTAAACTAGAAGACAAAGTATTGTTATATATATCCCCATTTGAAAGGTTGAAAAAGTATAAATTAGTGATAAGTTTACTTACAGAATTACCATAATATATATGGTGACTCTTGTAACAGGACAAAATGCAAGTATTGTTCTGGTGGAAACTAGAACGGATATAGTATTTGTAAAAGATATAACATTTTCGAAATATGATCACTTATTAACTTGAATACAAAAAGAAAATAACTCTTTTAAGAAAACCCATAATTGTGAAACAAGTGTTAATTTTAAGTTTGTTTCATTGAATTTTGCATAAATCTATTCAAAGTAATCTGTGATAATTATCCTGAATTTTGAAGTGATAAAACTAGTGGGAAGGTAATTAGTTAACACCACCCATTGTCAACTCTTGGGCTACTTTTTTTACTAATGAAAAATGGGATTAATTGTCAGATCATAATATTCCCATGGCTGTAAGAGTGAGTATGTTCAGTGATGAGATTCAAACCCGCAACCTACAGATTGCTAGTTGGGCACCTTAACCACCAGACCATACAAGTTTTAATGATGAAATAAACATGCCTTTACCACTAGTAGAGTTTCCATAATGCAAGCATTAAAAGTGGAACAAACAGGGTTAATAGAAGATAATAAACAATTAACTAGAAAATGTTGTGAAGAAGTAGGCGATCTTTTGATAGAATTAAATAATATTAAAGATAGTATTTGTATTTCAGATAGAAAAAGACAGAAAAGAGAAATAATTAATGTCAGAGGAAATATTTTAAAATTGCTATTTGATACTACAATCACAGATAATTTAAAGGAATTAAATAAAATGTAGATGACTAAAGACAGTTATAAAAAAAAATGATACATTTATTAGGTGAGCAGACTATTATAATGGAATCATTAAACCAAACTTTGGAGAAATTGAGCAAGTTTCAAATGCAAAATTAAATATAATTAATGAGTTAATATATGATAGAATACAATCAAAGATGATACATTAGGTTGGAGCCAAAATGTTAGTTTTTAACATAATAATTCAAAATAATTAACAACAGTTAGTATTTAATGTAGAATTCTAATAGTAGAATAAAATTAGTTCAAACACTCAGTATAGCAGATAACAGAAAGCTGAATTTATACTTCTCATGTTCTAGTAAACCAGAAAACATGTCGGGTGAAACTCAGAGAAGACTACTGTCACATTTACAGCTCTTAATACCTACCCATACTGAGCACTTATATGTGTTACACATGGGCAGATATAATGACAGTGGCTGTCAAAAATACTTTAAGACTGTTTATAGAAATACCATCAAAGGTGACTGATAGATAGTTGAAACTATATTAGTTAGTTTAATTATCAATAACACTGAATAGTTTTTCAAAATATTGATGAAAACTGAAAAGATAACATTTTCCTTAACTGAAAATGTGTTTCTGATAGACAACTCTCTCCTAAGATACAGGAAGAAACCAGAGAAGGGTTGGAAGATAATCAATAGGACAAAGTTACAGGGAAAATTCATGGTTTGGATTGTGCAGTTCATGCTCATCCCCAAACACCTCTGACCATTGCTTATCTATGAGATCAACCTCAGTGCAATAGAGAGCATGGAAAGAAAGAGAGATCAGCCACTTCACTAGGAAGTGGCTAGGATTGTCTCCAGGTCTTAGCACAGTTGCTGTCTACTGTATAGAAGCAAAGCTTAGACTTCCATTGAAATCACTGGTGGAAAAGTACAAGATTGTCAAGACTAGACTTCTAAAAATGCTCAAAAACTCATACAGCTCCTGTGTTAAAGCAGCCCTTCCAAAGCTGAAAATAGAAAGGAAGTGGAAGGTTCAAGAGGTGGCTAACCAGGCAGAAAAGGCTCTGAAGTTGAAAGAGGTGATAGGTGTTACTTAGAGAGACTGCAAGGGGTTAGGATTTTAAAAAAAAAGCTGATTTGGTGGTCAAAGGCTTCTAACAAAAAGGAGATGAGACATGGTGATAGGAGAGATCAGGCAAGAAGAAGATGCTAAGTGAGTTCAGACAGCAGTTTAGGAAAGAGAA